TTGTTGTTGTTTGTTTGTTTTGAGACAGAGTTTTGCGCTTGTTGCCCAGGCTGGAGTGCAGTGGTGCGATCTCAGCTCACTGCAGCCTCTGCCTCCTGGGTTCAGGTGATTCTCCCACTTCAGCCTTCTGAGTAGCTGGGATTACAGGCGTGTGCTACTATGCCCAGCAAGGATCGTGCAATTTTAAGTCCTGGAATTCACTATGACAAACACTTCAGAAACAAGGCATAGAAAACGTTTGTAGAGATGCAAGGTACTGCAGCAAGGTGATGAACACCTTGATCCAAGCCACATGTGAGGAATGTCACACCCAACAACCTCAGGGAACACGCTCTGGTTGAGCTGAAGTGAGCTATGATTATGTCACTGTACTCCAGCCTGGGTGATAGGACAAGACCCGGTCAAAAAAAAAAAAATCATTTCTGATGGCACCTTCTTTACAGGGAATTGTTAGGAATATTCTTCAAGAGCAGGAATATGAATCCAGGGGAGGTGCCTGGAGTAAGATGGAGCGGTGGACAAAGAGAATAATAAACATACATAAATTGTTTCATTGAAACTTTAAAAACAAAATACTGGAAAACATTACTGTGTAACTTGGGCCATGGACGAAGGGAGGTGAATTGTTTTAAAGCCCCTGTATTGCCCTACAGAAAAAGGCTGGAAGGACTGTGCAATTTATTTATTTATTTATTTATTTATTTAAACTTGGGCAGGGACGAAGGGGGTGAATTGTTTTAAAAGCCCCTGTATTGGCCCTACAGAAAAAGGCTGGAAGGACTGTGCAATTTATTTATTTATTTATTTATTTTATTTAGAGATGGGTTTCACTCTTGTCTCCCAGGCTGGAGTGCAGTGGTACGATCTTGGCTCACTGCAACCTCTTGCCTCCCGGGTTCAAGTGGTTCTCCCACCTCAGCCTCCTGAGTAGCTGGAATTACAGCACACGCCACCACGCCCAGCTAATTTTTGTATTTTTAGTAGAGATGGGGTTTCACCATGTTGGCCAGGATGGTCTCAATCTCTTGACCTCGTGATCCACCTCCTTGGCCTCCAAAGTGCTGGGATTACAGGCGTGAGCCACCACGCACGGCCTTGTGTTTTTTTTTGTTGTTGTTGTTGTTTGTTTTGAGACAGAGTTTTGGCTTGTTGCCCAGGCTGGAGTGCAGTGGTCGATCTCAGTCACTGCAGCCTCTGCCTCCTGGGTTCAGGTGTTTCTCCCACTTCAGCTTCTGAGTAGCTGGGATTACAGGCGTGTGCTACTATGCCCAGCAAGGATCGTGCAATTTTAAGTCCTGGAATTCACTATGACAAACACTTCAGAAACAAGGCATAGAAAACGTT